GAGGCCCGGGCCGCGCTCCAGCTGGGTTCGAACCGGCCGCGGTCACCCTCTGGCCCTCTTCCAGGCCGCGCCTCCTCGCCCCGGCGGCGGCCCGGCGCCATGTCGGGGAAGCGGAAGCGCGTGGTGCTGACCATCAAGGACAAGCTGGACATCATCCGGAAGCTGGAGGACGGGGCCTCGCCCAAGCGGCTGGCCGCCGCGTACGGCATCGGCGAGACCACGGTCCGCGACATCCGGAAGAACAAGGAGAAGATCATCAGCTACGCCAGCAGCTCGGACTCCACCAGCCTGCTGGCCAAGCGCAAGTCCATGAAGCCGTCCATGTACGAGGAGCTGGACCGCGCCATGCTCGAGTGGTTCAACCAGCAGCGGGCCCGCGGCCACCCCGTGTCCGGGCCCATCTGCGCCAAAAGGGCCGAGTTCTTCTTCTACGCGCTGGGCATGGACGGCGACTTCAACCCCTCGGCCGGGTGGCTCACCCGCTTCAAGCAGCGGCACAGCATCCGCGAGATGAACATCCGGAGCGAGCGGCCGCGCGGGGACCAGGCCGCCGTGGAGGACTTCTGCAGCAGCTTCCGGGCCTTTGTCCAGCGGGAGGACCTGCAGCCCGAGCAGATCTACAACGCGGACGAGACCGGGCTGTTCTGGAAGTGTCTCCCCGCCAGGACTTCCGGCGTCCGGGGGAAAGGCTCGGCCCCCGGGCGCAGGTCCTCGGAGGAGCGGATCACCGTCATGTGTTGCGCCAACGCGACGGGTCTGCACAAGCTGAAGCTGTGTGTGGTGGGCGGAGCGAAGAAGCCGCGCTCCTTCAAGGCCGCGGACACCGTGAACCTGCCCGTCTCTTATTTCAGCCGGAGAGGTGCGTGGATGGACCTTTCCATTTTCCGACAGTGGTTCGATAAGATCTTCGTGCCACAGGTTCGAGAGCACTTAAGATCCAAAGGCTTGCAGGAAAAGGCTGTGCTGCTGCTGGGTAATTCGCCAACGCACCCAAATGAAAACGTCCTGCGGTCAGAGGATGGCCAGATCTTTGCCAAGTATTTACCGCCCAATGTGGCTCCACTGATTCAGCCCCTGGACCAGGGGGTCATAGCAGCGACCAAGAGGAACTATCGGGCAGGCCTTCTGCAGAACAATCTGGAAGAAGGCAATGACCTGAAATCATTCTGGAAGAGGTTAACTCTGCTGGACGCACTTTATGAAGTAGCCATGGCGTGGAACTTGGTGAAGCCGGTTACCATTAGCAGAGCTTGGAAGCAGATTCTCCCCACCATAGAGGAGAAAGAAGGGTCGGTCTTTGATGAAGAAGATATTTCTGTGGCTACTGTGGCCACCCTTTTACAGCATACCAGAGGACTGGAAAGTCCCACCACTGAGAACATTGAAAGATGGCTTGAAGTGGACAGTACTGAGCCAGGTTATGAGGTGCTAACCGACACTGAAATCATCAAGAGAGCCCAACAAGGCCAGACAGATGAATCCAGTGAAAATGAGGAGGAGGACACAGAACTGGTTCCAGAGAAGCATATAGACCATGCAGCTGCCCTCCAGTGGACCGAGAATCTATTAGATTACCTAGAACAACAAGGCGACATGATTCTACCCGATAGGCTGGTCATACGTAAACTCCGAGCCACCATCAGAAATAAACAGAAGATGACAAACTCAAGCCAGTAATGACATTTCAATTTCATCATTGTTCCGTAAATGGTATTTGTGATCATCACTAAACACTGTGCTTTTTTTTCTTTGTGTTGTGAGTTTTCACAACAGTCCTGTGAAATGTATCTGAAATAGTTTGAGAATTATGTGTTTCATAATGTGTTTTGGCCCTTTATTTGTATACATGGTCAGGAGCTAATTGGTATGGGTGTAAATTACATGTCTGTGTCTGTTCATTTTTGTAAATCAGCAGTCATCATTCTGTCAGAGTAACATTCCCCAGACTCTCTAGCAGAAGTTAGAGATAGCAGGGTGCTGGCGGCTCTCTGCTGTTGGAATCATAGCTACTCAGGGGGCTGCCATCTAGGAAGACGGCAGTTTAAAGCCAGCCAGGACAGAAAAATCCAAGAGATTATATTTCTAAACCTGTAGACAAACTGGTCTGGGAGTGTGGTTTAATTGGCAGAGTGAGATAGGAGCAGAAAAACCTGGGTTCAAGTCCAGTGTATTAGCACCAAAAAAAGAAAACAAACGAAAAAACACAAAAAAACAGTGAGCAGATTGAGCACTTTCCTGAAGTCTTTTGCTTGAATTGTGAAAGCTGCTATCGCAATCTTTTCTTGTGCTAATCGTCTTAAATGATCATGTCTATAGGCTGACAAGATTGGAAAGCTATATATTGTTAGATTTTTAAATGACCATAATAATTAAAATAAAGTTATAATCTATGAATTGTTAAATAATTTTAGAAATCATATTTCCATTTTCTTACTTTTGTGTGGATGGCAAGGAGTGGAGATAATTCTGGGAATGAAATAAGTATATCAAATTTAATTAAAGGAATGGAGACTATTGGAAAGCTGGTATGTAATAGTTATTCTATTCTATGTAGGAGACAGTTATTCCACGAACTTTTAAGTTTATTTATATTAGTTGAATGTATAGATTTGTTTTAATTTGGCCTCATTTTATGATAAATTGGATAACAGTATAGGATTATTCATCCAATGATAGCATAGGTTCTGTAATGTTACATGTAAAGATACCAACTCCCTCTTATATTTGGGAACATCTTGGGACTTTGAAAGGTACTATGTTCTTGTTTATTTACTGAATATTTGGATACTTGATCTATAATTTGAAACATTTTGTCATACCTAGCCATTTTAGTTGAAATGAAAAGGAGAAACAAATAAGGTTTTTATTATTTTAAATAAATCCTGTGTTTGTGTCCCTACTGCCAAGTGCCAGAGAGAAGAAAATTACATTGTTTATTACTCTGACACTTCTAAAAGGGATCATTCTTCTCATCTGAGCTAGAGTTTTGATAAATTTTCTTAAACTTTTGCTATTCAAGACACTGAAAATACTTTGCAAATGTTAAAATTAACATAATTTATAATTTAAAACCTAAATAGTTCCATGTTATGTTTGGGTCCAGCATTGAAAAAATATAGATTTGTTCTTAGTCATTTTTGAAAGATTTAATTTTTCATTGAAATACTTAACATTTTATAGTGGTTTTCTTAGAATTCTGAAGCTTTAAAGTTTTTAAACTTTCTATAGTTTCGCTTAACTAACATATATATTCGCATATTCACACACATATATATCTAGATTTTGACAGACTTATTTAAAATAGAAGTGTTTAAACTTTGTTCTTTGTATAAATTGCCTGTGTTCAATATGAAAAATTACATATATATATATATTGAATCAGATAGTTTCAAATTCTGTATTAAGTAAAATGTATATAACATAATTAATAAAATAATTTTTCTAATGAACTATGTGCTACACAGCTTCTTTAATTTACGTCTGGATTTACTGAAATGCAGCCATATCAGTCTTAACGCTTCTATTAGGCTGTGATTTTAAGCATTACTGCCTGTTTTCTGATTCCACTTAGCAAATGCATAGTGAACACCCTTTCTTACTACAAATCAGATGGACTCTGGTGGGAAGGTGGGCAGTTCAAGAGCAGGTCTGTGGAAGGTTTGGAGTTGGCACTGTGCGGCCAACATGGCAGTCTGGCTCTGGTAGAGGCCTGGGGCCACTGCTGCTCACTGCCTTGAGCACGAAGTTCTCAGACCCAACAGAAAAAAGGGAAGAAGCTCTCAGGGCACCAAGGTGCTGAGAAGGCAGAGGTTAAATTCAGACAGAAGAAGGTGGTTGGGGAAGGAGGGAGAAGTAAAGGTAGCCAGGGTGAGGCGTGCTTTGTAGTGCGCCGGTCACCCTCGTCCCGGGCTGCTGGGTGGCCTGCGGGCCCCGTAATTTCTGCTTTTGCCTTTTCTCACCCGTGCAATGTTAGTACCAGGTGAAATGTGCTTGATCGTTGACGGATGATGGCAAAAGTTGTGTGGGCACTAAATCTACCATCTCACAGTGTTCCTGCTCCCTGCGCTGGCGGTTCCTCACTCAAGGTGCTTCTCCCTTCAAAGATTAGCTGTGCTGGAGGAGTGGCCCAGTGGTAGAGCACCTGCCTAGTGTGTGTGAAGCCTTGGGTTCAGTCCCCAGTACTGCAGGAAACAGATAGTCACGGGTTGTGTTCTCTGGAATGTCACGGGGTGTTTTTGTTTTTCCTTCTCTAGTTGGTATGCCGTGACACAGAACTTGCCAGAAGCTGCCTGCTCAACACAGTTTCCTACGCTGTCAGTAGCCAGGAGCTCTGTGAGAGTAGATTTATTTACAGGAGCTAGTGGGATAAGTTAGCTTACTTTTTCTGAGTAATTTTATCCTGTGGGAGCCAGAGGATTTGTGAGGGAAGTAGGATTCTTTGTCATGCTTAAACCCAGTGAAGCAGAACTGCTGTACGCTCCACTGCTAGCAAGAGAGGTTACCTTCGGTAAGCATCTCAAGATCAGGGTAGAAAAGCACACACGTGCTTAAAACATGAACATGTAGTTCCACTGTAAGCTCACAAAGTGCAGACAAAACAAGATGATAGAAACTATGTAAGGAAATCTAGATGCATTTTTGTGTATTCATTCCATGACTGACTTCTGTGAACCTCTGCATTTTAGGCTTTGTGGTCTTGGTTTTTGCCACTTAATCTGAACAGCAAACCATTTCAGCTGAAGCAGGATTGAAGTGTGGAGGAGAAATGACAGTTACAACTGTTGCTTTGTTTCCCATCCATTGTGAATTTTCCATTAGCTTAAGAGAGCCAATATAGCCAATACGAACACTTCTTCCCACTCCAGTTAGGACCAAATCAACCATGTCTTCAGTTTCTGAGAAATGTCCAGGGGGGCCAAAATTATCCCTGGGTGAGAACCAGTCCTTTCCAACTGCAAGGTTAAGGACTCTTACATTACTGAGAGTACGATTTACACAGTGTCTGGTGGTTACCGCAAACGCTACCTCTTAGATGTCTTGTTACGTTAGCACCCCACTTCTATAGCACCCCTATTTCCTTTTTCTGCTTCCGTGGCACAGAGGGTGGAATCCAGGGCTTCGGTGCCTCCAGCACTGTTTCACTGTGGTTCCTTTTGAGATAGGTCCAGGTTGGCCTAGATTGCAATGACAAACATGTGCCACTATGCCCAGTTTTTCTATTGAGAAGAAGTCTCATGAACTTGTATTGCCCAGCTTGGCCTGGAACTGTGATATCCTGCTCGCAGCCTCCAGTGGGACTGGAATGGCAAGCGCACGCCACTGTGCGTGCTTTCTTGGCTGAGGTGAGGTTTCAGGTTGTTTTGCAGGAACTGGTCCCATTCCTGATCTTAACGCAAGGTAGTTAGGGTGGTAGCTGTGAGCCACTGGCACAAGGTACTGATTTCTTTCTTGTTTTAGCTGAAACAAACACCCAACTTTAGATGCTTAACACCATAAGTGTTATTCTTAGCAGTCATATGATGTCAGGCCTGCTCCGACAGTGACTTTAAGTGATTCTCAAGTCTAGCAGGGGTAGGATCAGGGGTGAATCACTCCTTATCTAGAAGCTGCTTCTGAGAGGAAACTACAGAGCTCCATACAGAAGATAAATGCAAACAGCCAGCACACGAGCAAAGATAACTCACACTCCTCAACCCGCTTTATAATGGCTAGCCTTGTAACAGTTTTGTTTTATTGGAGGTTTTGCTTTTAAATGTCATTTAGAAACACTGGTGGTCTGGAAATCTTAATTTTTTGTTTTCATTTCGGTAAGCAGTATTTTGTATGATCAGAGGCACATAGGCCTTGGCTTTGTGCTCTTCCCCTAGGAGTGCCCTCCTCTGGTCTCACTGTGTGTGAATACCCACAGTCCTGTATAATCTATCATGTACCGGTGCACTTTAGATCTAGCTTCCACAAATGAGAGAAAACATGCGCCATTTGTCTCTCTGAGCTTGGTTTACCTCACTTAATGTGATCTGTTCTAGGTCCATCCACTTGGAAATCTTTCTTTCTTTCTTTTAACCACAAAAGTCCAAAAGACTTCGGGAGCATTTTAAACAAAGATTACAAATCAAACCCAAACGCTTAGCACCCTGTAAATGGAGTATCATCTCCATCTTGTGGTGTTTCAGAATATTGACTGCTTTCAAAAAGTTTTATGTGTAACAAGCACGTTGGTTTCCTGTAGCTCTGTTAGATTACTGAGAACACGGGAGAGCAGGCACACGGAAAACAATCTACACCCCTGAGCCCATTTGATTTCTAATCAAAGATCAAAGCATGTAATGGGAGAGTTTTATTCGTAAGCAGCCTTTACCTTGGCTTACTTGGCTCAGCAAGAACCCAGCAGTCACTGCACCTGCAGCTGGGTTACGGTGATTGGCTACAGGACTTGTTTGTAACTGCAGCTTCCCCTCTCCTTGCTCTGTGTACGACACCAGAAGGTGGGGGCCTGGGCCTCCCAAGCCACGAGGCCCCAGACATACATGTTCAGGAACGTGGATGCCTTTTCTGGTCTATAAATCTTTGACATCGTTAGTGCTGGCTTGGTTCTTTCACGTAAGTTTTACTTCCTTCCATTTCAGGATTTGTTGCTCACCTGTGGTTCTAATGTGTAATTAGAAGCTACAAACCCAAACTGTGTAGCTAGGAACATTAAAAAGAGCGGATGAGTTCCACCTCCCCAAAAGAGGGTTCAGGTTTAGTGGAGGTAAAGAAAAGCACACTAGAACAAGTACTTTTAAAGAACAAACAAAAGTGAGACATGCACAAGCTACTATTAATTCTGCTATGGAAAATCCGACTTAATTGGGCTCAAGTGTTCCTGGGGACCTGTGCTTGAAAAGCACTTTGGGTTTCTAGCCCCACAGCCAGGTGGAGCACTGCTGTGGGAGGGCAGGGGTCGCCCTCAGATGAGGTAGTAATGACATGATCCTCTGCAGCCACGTCGTGACCAGGAGGAGAGCCGCCATCTCGACCTTGGTAGACCACTGCTTCCTAGAGGAGGGCTCCCAGGAGCAGGACCCGAGATGCGGCTGCCAGGTAAGGAGGAATTACAAAACGATTCCTCTTAGGGAGCTTCATGGGTGGGAAGCCTTGGCTCAGGGCTTTGTGAAGCCTGAGAAAGCCTTGGGTGCACGGTGGGACCGGCAGGTTC